TGTTTTCAGTCATGTTACCTGAACCACCAGTCCCAAAAGCACCTTCCCCTTGGTTCTTGTACTCCATTCTAAGTTAAGAAGAGGCTTTAAACTATCGTGACAAGAAAAATCTGTATTTCAAGGCTGATAACAGCCAACCTAGGACAATGATTTTGCAGTTAGATTACAGTCAACTACTGTCTTGGGATTGATATCAGTCCTGGACTGATTGACATCAGTCCTGAGACTTTCTATCCGTACCTCTCTAAATGAATAACAAAGTCCTTTTGAGTATCAATCTCAAGAAAAGGTACTTATTTTATGAAGAAAAAAAGCCCAGAAAACGGATCGCTACCTTCAATCTTAAAACTTGATCAATCAATTACTGTCAGCACCTTGAGTCTTGATCGAAGAACCAAGAAAAAAAAAACTGATCGGCACCTCCAATCTTGATCACTCAATTCCTGCCTAATTCTTCCTGATTACAAGAAGCTCTCTCCAATCTTAGGACAGGTGCTAAAGCCTTCTTGCAACCTCCAAGAATCAGCCGAAATAAGGATCTTTCTGAACTTTCAGCCCTAAACAATTCTCATGTGGTCGGCTGAATTAAATCCACATGAGAATCCCTAGATCTAAGGCTCTGATACCAACTTGAAAGAAGAAGAAGAACTGTTTACTGTATTACAGGTTTGAAGAGAAGAAAAGAGAGAGAGAGAGAGACAGAGAGTGAAGAGAGGAGAACAGAAAGAAGGGGTTCAGTGGTGAATAATCTGTTGCCCCATACACTCCTTTATTTATAGCTTTTAGGATCCTTACAAGAATAGGAAATAAACAAAAATTAGAAACAATAAGACCAACCAGCCCAACTTAACAGAAATTAGAAACTTCTAATAACAGAAATTAGAAACTACTAATAAAAGAAATTAGAAACAACTAGGTGCGGGTATGAAACCACACACACTAGAGCCTGAGTGTGGGTATGGAACCCCACACTCGTGGCTAACCAACTTTTTCTTCAGATATCTAGCATCTCCCAGCCCTTGTTTTCCGATTATTAGGAAGTACCAGAATAATAAAAGGGATCAAATGGATAACTGCAGTCATTTAGATTCAAAGAGAGCCATCAATTTACAGATTTATGAAGAAGTATTCTCTCTTCCTTTCAAATACAAATTGAAGACTGATGGATTTTAATCAACAATTTCAACATGTACAAGATAAATATTCCCAATCACGGAGAAAGAAAATATATCTATGTAGGTGAGGTATTGAAATTGCACATCGACTTGGAGTAGAAGATTTAATAATTGAAGGAGACTCAAAAGTTGTTGCAGGTTGGCTGGATAATTCGGATTTAGGGGTTTGGTGCTACAGGGAGATCTCTTAAAGAAAGCCAAGTGGTTAACAAGAAACATGTTTGTTAGTTTACACTGGGTGGGAAGGTCTGCAAATGCTTTCGCTGATTTTCTTGCTAAACAAGGGGTTAATAGGGAAAATTTGTACTGGTATGCATTGTAATCTTTTCTCCTTTGTTTCTTTTTGCTTAATCTGTAATTCTGTTTAAGTAGAGGTTGCACCTCGTTCCTCTCCCTGGATTGCTTGTAACAGTTTCTCTCATCTTATTAATAAAAGCACTATTCAATTATCAAAAAATCTATGTAGGTAAGATAAAATGAGGTAAGCAATTTTTTTTTCTATTTTTGGATAGAAAATATACTATAAGAGGCATCCGCATATGCCTCTGCCAATTTGAGGCAAAAGGCCAAAGGCATATGCCTCTTAGTATTTAGGAAGTAGGCCTCTAAGGTAATCTGTGAAGCTACAGGGGTGAGGCAGTACTTGGCTTGCTTTGTCTTAAGGCATATGCCTCACCTCCTTGCCTTATAGCCTTTTAAAACTATGAATGGAAGTACACTAAGAGTGTAATGCAACATGTTGGTTCAATTGGTTTAGTGTTTATGTTAGTCTTATTTATGTTTTAAGTTCTTAGTTATTGGGCCTAAACTTGTTTTATTCTTTTATGTCTAGGTGTCCCATCACTAATTAGGGGCATTCTAGTCCAGGTAATCTTATCACTCATACTTCTGATTTGGATCTCCCTATTGCTCTTCGTAAGCCTACCCGTTCTTGTACTATCCGACACCCCATTGCTGAATTTGTTTTTACTCCCGTTTATCTCCTCGTTATTATTCCTTTGTGTCTGCTCTCTCTTCCGTGCATGTCCCTACTAGGTACTCAGAGCCAGTGTCTGATCCAAGATCGAGAGAGGCTATGAATGAAGAAATGAAAGCCAGGACTTGGGAATTAGTGGATCTACCAGAAGGGAAGAGCACTGTGGGATGCAAGTGGGTGTTCACTGTGAAGCATAGGGAGGACGGGTCCATTGAAAGATACAAGGCCAGACTAGTGGTGAAGGGGTTTACTCAAAAGGAAGGATTTGACTACAAAGAGACCTTTGATCCAGTTGCAAAGCTCAACACAATCCGGGTTCTATTGTCATTAGTTGCAAACTTATCATGGGAGCTACATCAGTTGGATGTGAAGAACACTTTCCTAAATGGCGATCTACATGAAGAGGTATTCATGGATCCTCCACCAGGTTATGGTTTTGATGGGAAAGTGTGTAGACTGAGGGAAGCATTATATGGTCTTAAGCAGTCCCCTCGAGCTTGGTTTGAGAAGCTCTATGGGGACATGAAGAGAGTGGGATACACTCAAAGTGGTGCAAATCATACTTTGTTCATAAGGAAACAGGATAGCAGACTTACGACACTCATCGTCTATGTGGATGWTATGGTGATTACAGGGAATGATCTAGAAGAGATAAAAAGATTGAAGGAGTTCTTGGCATCTGAGTTTGA